GGCGAGCTCATCTTGGGGGTTTGTTTATGTTACTTTGTCTTTATTTTTACAATGGGACCTTGGCATGTGGTAATAGCTCAGTAGTTGTATCTCTTGAAAGGGCAACAGAGCACAAACCAACAGTTGGATGAAGTAAGAAATGTAATTTAAGATTCGGAAACAAAAAATCAGCAAAGAGATAGAAATCTTAAAGGAAAAAAATAAAATAAAGCTTGAAAGGGAAATGGCAGTGCAGTCAATGGAGCTGAACTGTCCATTGAAAGTCTCACAATAGAATGGATGAAGTGGAAGAGACAATATCAGGGTTTGAAGACAAGCTGGAGGGTTTTGACAACTCTGAGAAAGAAAATGGTAAATACAAGTAAAACCATGAAAGAACCTGAACTTCTTTAAGGTTTGTTAGTATGAGAAAAGTTTAAATTTGTCATGTAATTTTTCTGTGGTTATTAACATGACCACACAGTGTTTGTTCTTGATTATATTCTCTATTGCAATACATTGATATATTTGCTTATATAGGAACATTACATCCCTGTATTGAAAACATTCTTCTGTGTTCAACTGTTCTTTCTTCATTATGTATATTTGTGTTTTGACTTCTATATGGCATATGGATCTTTTCCTTTGGCCTGCCTATGTGTTGTTCTATATACTTCTTTCACCTGTACACAGATCTCTTTCCCTAAATATGGGTAATTTTCTTCTGTAATTTTGTTGAACATATTCTGTATGTTTGATCTAAGTTTCTTGCCCTGTGTGTATGTTTAATGGATTATTTCTTTTCACAAAGTCTCAGATATCCTGAATATTGTTCTTTCATGCTCTGTAGTCATACTGAAAATCAACATCAAATGAGAATTTACCCCTTCTGCTTAACGCAAATTTTCTGTCTTCCTTGAGCTCACATTAAAGAGTGTTCATACTTTTAACCTAAAACTCTTCCCCAAGCTGCTACTATGACACAGCCTTCTCTACTATGTGGGTTTCAGTATAGATTACAAATAGTGGTAATACTAGCATGTTTAAAGTTTATCTCTTTTTGTAAATTTAAAAAGATTCTCATAAGCTTCAGTAAATCCACTTGGATCCACTTCTCACTTGTCAAATGGTCTCCAGATAAGTATCCCTGTCAAATAACAGGCTGTTTCAAGTCTATTGTGCCTATTTTAAAGGGTCAGATCTTCCCCATTTCCCTGGTCTTGGCTCTACAGAGAGTTCTCAAAATAAAATAAAATAAAATAAAATAAAATAAAATAAAATAAAACAATAGCTAAGAAATATCTCAAAAGAAATTCATTCATGAACCCTAACAAATAGGGAAATGTAAATTAAAACAAGTTTTCATTTTATTTCATTCCATCAGAGAGGCAATTATCAACAACAATGAAAACTGATAGCAAACGCTGAAGGGTTATGGAAAAAGGAATCCTCATTCACTGTTAACAGTACTGCAAATTGCTTCAGCCACATGGATATCAATGTGGAGAATTCTCAATACATCTAAAATAGATGTATGTCATGACATGCAATACCATACCTTCCCATATGTTAAGATGACTTGACATCCTAACTGACATATAGTTGCTCAGCAGTGTTCGTTGCTGCTCTATTCTCAACAGCTACGAAATGAAAATATGCTAAATATACTTCACCTGATGAGTGGATCATGAAAATGCCTGACATATACACTATGAAATACCATTTAGCTATTTTTAAAAAGTGAAATGATGACTTTTTCAGGTAATTAGTGAATTAGAAAAGATCATATAGAGGTAAGTAACCTATACTCAAAAGGACAAATATCCCATATTCTTTCTTATCTCTTCACTGACAGTCTATATCCCAGAGTAGCTGCAAAAGCCAGGAAACTAAATACAGACCATTGCCAGAGTAATAGGGTAGAGAGCAACAGAATTGTGAATACCTGGTTAAAAATTATCTAAGAGGTGGAATGAAGGAAAATAGGAGAAAGCAGTAATTAGGAAAACAGGAAAGAGAAATACAGAAGAATGAGGGAGGATCTTATGGGAAAGTCATATAAAATCATATTCCTCACCACAGCCCTTCTATACCTAGAGAAGGGAGGAGATGTCAGGTTCAGCTCTGCTTATACACTGAAGGCCTAAAATCAGTCATAGGCCTAAAATCAGCAATAGGCCTGTTATACATGTATACTAACACCAAGTCTTGGGTCTCAGTGGAAAAACATTGAAAGAGAGGGCTATAAACTAATGTAAACAGGTAGCTTTTGTGGAAATTTACCAGCCTGAGTAGTCATAGACCTGGTAAATAGGTAGCCTTGGTGGATAATACCAACTTAGATAAGGACAAGTGAATCATAGACAGAGTCGTAGTGACCTGTCCCCTGAACCTTCACCCAGCCGATACAGTGTTCTGAAAGATATCTGTACTCCCCCTGAACACCCACATTCAGGTGTTTTCCCCTTCCCCACGTCCTGCCTATTTGTGTTTATAACCCCTGTGAGAATAAGTAAAAATTATGATTTGATTTAAAAAAATAAAAAAATAAATTAAAAAATCATATTCCTAAACTTTAATTCATGTAATTCCGTGTATGAATATACATATATAGTTTAAATGAAATTTTTTATTCTAGGCTCTTCACAAACCAAAGATCATTTAAAAACTACACCAACACTAGGCAAGAGAAAGACACATTAGAGTTCTTGGTCAGGACTATCTTACAGAACCCAAAGCATAACAGACTATTGCTATTGCAGCTCATTGTCCCCAAGAGGTGGAAAGTAAGCCATTTAAGACATGTTCTTTATTACAGAGTTCAAATGTCCCTAAGTTGGAACTGCTCTGAAAGCCTCTCCTCTAAGGACTAGCATTCATGGTACCAGCAGTTGCCATGCAGGCTTTCTAATAAGAGAAGTAAGCAACAGTCCTACTCAACTATGATGCCTAGAAGGCAACAACAAATTTAATTTCTCCTCTTCCTTTCTAAATCAGCTTGGCTGACTAGGAGACTGGTACAAAGAAACTGAATGCTATTATATTGGTTGATAAATATAACTCAGAGTGCTGATGTGAAAACACTGATTGAACATTGTTTGTTTTGCCCCTCCCTTGTGACCTTTGATGTTTACCAAACTAACTGCTAGTAATGCACTGAAACTCAAAGTCATGCATAGCACTGTTAAAGACAGGATTCCCAAAAGCACCACCAAGCCTGGAGTGCTTTAGGCTTCAGAAGATGAGGTTTTGTACCCTGTTTCTCTTTGCCAGTATCTTCCTAATCTCATGGCTCTCTACTACCAAAGGTGAAGGTATGCAGAAACAGATTTGAAACATGCACTCTCTAGTGAAATATATTTTTCTGTTGTATGTCTATGGAACTATTTTAAGGTTATTTTTAATTTTATTATAAAATATTGGAAATAGAAAAAAATATAAGATATTTTAATGAAAACTGAGGGTATATTTTATTTTAATGATAAAACTAATTGTTTTATGAAGTTTCTGATATGCAATTAAAGGGGGAAATTTGCATGAAATGAGCATTTTTTTCTGTCCTCTAAAACTCTGTACCCCATTTTTAATTGTATGTTTTGGTTTGTTGATGTCTATTTTCTCATGTTGTTTGCATGACCCGACCGGCGGGTCCCAGTTATTCGTGGGGGCGAGGAGGACCGCAACCTGAAAGAAGAACGGGCAAGAGAAGGAAAGGACTCAAGCAAACATTTGCTTGTCAAGAGTCATGTATTTGAACGTGAAATGCTTTTTTATAGTATGTTTTACAAGGGGAGGGGGTAAGAGGGGCCAGGTGGTGGAAAAGTACAGAATCTTCTTGGCCTGTGCCTTGAAACATGTCATGGTCTATACGGTACACTGCCTTGAATTATGATCTACCTGTTATTCTTCAGAAGATATGATACACTGCTTTGAGTTATGGTCTCCCTGCTATTCTTCAGAAGATATGGTACACTGTTTTAAGTCTATCTGCAGCTGCCAGGCAGGGTCTTGCGGTTGCCAAGCTGCACAGGACATTGTGCAGGTGGGGAAAGGTAGGGGGTGAGGGTAAGAGGGAGGGTCCTGGCTTCTGGCATATTTTGGATATTAGTCCTCTGTTGGATATGGAGTTGGTGAAAAAAAAATTCCCAGTCTGAATCCTACATTTTTCCATACTGAAAATGCCCATTGCCTTACAGAAGCTTCTCAGTTTCATGAGGCTCATTTGCTGATTATAGTTCTTAGTACCTATATTATCAGTGTCTGTTTTCGAAGTTGTCTCCGATTCCATTGAGTTCATGGCTGTTCTTTCTCTTCTATTAGGTTAAATGTGTTTGGTTTTATGTTTAGGTCTTTGATCCACTTGGACTTGAGTTTCCTGCAGGATGATAAATATAGATCAATTTCCATTCTTTTATATGCAGATATTTGTTGAAGATGATCTTTTTACCATTGTGTTTTTCTGGCTTCTTTATCAAAAATCAGGTATTTACAACTATGCATATTTATATCTGGGTATTCATTTTGATTGCTATGTCCAATTTGCCTGTAGTAATGGAATATCATGCTGTTTTATTAGTATATTCTGTGATACAGCATTAAATCAGGGAGAGTGATACTTCTGGAAGTTCTCTTATTTTACAGGATTGTTATAGTTTATTTTGGGAATTTTGTTATTTTGTTTTTTCAAATGAAGTTAATTTTTGTTTGTTTTATAGGAAATTTTATTTATTTACATTTCAGATTTTATTACCTTTCCCCATTTCCCTCCCCGTGGAACCCCTCAACCTGTCCTCCCTCCTGCTGCTTCTATGAGGGTATGCTCCCACCCATTCACTCACTGCCACCTCCCCACCCTCAAATTCCCCCGCATTGGGTGACCAAAGACCTCCAATGCTTGACAAGGCAATCCTCCAATACATATGCAGCAGGAGCTATGGGTCCCTCCATAGATGTTCCCAAGCTACCAGTTTATACCGAGGGAGAGCTAGTTGGTTGGTATTGTCATTCTTTCCATGGAACCTCAAGCCCCTTCAGCTCCTTCAGTCTTCTCTTTACCTCCTCCATTGGGAACCCAGTGATCAGTTCAATGGTTAGCTGCGAGCATGCGCCTCTCTATATGTCAGATTCTGGCAGAGCCTCTCAGGAGACAGCTACATCAGTCTGCACTTCCTGGCATCCACAATAGTGTCTATATTTGGTGATTGCACATTGGATGGATCCCCGTGTGGGGTAGTCTCTGGATGGCCCCTTCTCCAGTCTCTGCTCCACACTTTGTCTCTGTATGTACTCCCTTGAGTATTTTGATACTTCTAAAAAGGACTGAAAAACCCACACTTTGGTCTTCCTTCTTGAGCTTCATGTGGTCTGTGAGTTGTATCTTGGGTATTTTGAGTTTTGGGGCTAATATCCACTTGTCAGTGAGTGTATACCATGTGTGTTCTTTTGTGATTGGGTTACCTAACTCAGGATGATATTTTCTAGTTCCAACCATTTGCCAAAGAATTTCATGAATTCATTGTTTTTAATAGCTGAGGAATACTACATTGTGTAAATGTACCACATTTTCTGTATCCATTCCTCTATTGAAGGACATCTAGGCTCTTTCCAGCTTCTGGTTATTACATATAAGGCTGTTATGAACATAGTGGATCATGTGCCTTTGTTATATGTTGGAGCATCTTTTGGGTGTATGCCCAGGAGTGGTATAGCTGGGTCCTCAGATAATACTATGTCCAATTTTCTGAGGAACTGCCAGACTGATTTCCAGAATGGGTGTATCAGCTTGCAGTCCCATCAACAATGAAGGAATGTTCCTCTTTCTCTACATCATCACCAGCATCTGCTATCATCTGGGTTTTTGATCTTATCCATTCTGACTTCTGTGTGGTAGAATCTCAGGGTTGTTTTGATTTGCATTTCCCTAATGAGTAAGGATGTTGAACATTGCTTAAGGTGCTTCTTGACCATTTGAGTTTCCTCAGTTGAGAATTCTTTGTCTAGCTCTGTTCCCCATTATTTAATAGGATTATTTGATTGCCTGTAATCTAATTTCTTGAGTTCTTTGAATATATTGCATATTAGTCCTCTACCAGATGTGGGATTAGTAAAGATCGTTTCCCAATCTGTTGGTTGCCAATTATCCAAAAAAAAAAAAAAGTAAATGTAAGTAAACACTAACACAGACCTATGTTAGGAAATAAAACACAAAGAATATTAAAGATGGAACTGTGCATTTCTCCCATTGACAGTGTCCTTTGCCTTACAGAAGCTTTGCAATTTTATGAGGTCCCATTTGTCATTTTTGATCTTAGAGCATAAGCCATTGGTGTCCTGATCAGGAACTTTTCCCCTGTGTCCGCGTGTTCAAGAGTCTTCCCCACTTTCCCTTCTATTAGTTTCAGTGTCTCTGGTTTTGTGTGGAGGTCCTTGATCCACTGTACTGAGCTTTCTACAAAGAGATAAAAGAATGGATAGATTTTCATTCTTCTATATGCTGACCTCCAGTTGAACCAGCACCATTTGTTGAAAATGATGTCTTTTTCCATTGGATGATTTTAGCTCCTTTGTCAAAGAACAAGTGACCATAGGCATTGGGGTTCATTTCTGGGTCTTCTATTCCATTGATCATCTTGCTTATCTCCGTACCAATACCATGAAGTTTTTATTAATATTGCTCTGGAGTTTAGCTTGAAGTCAGGGATGGTGATTTCCCCCAGAAGATCTTGTATTGTTGAGAATAGTTTTTGCTATCCTGGGTTCTTTGTTATTCCAAATGAGTTTGAGAATTGCTCTTTCTAACTCTGTGAAGAATTGAGTTGGAATTTTGATGGGGATTGCATTGAATGTGTAGATTGCTTTCAGCAGGATGGGCATTTTTACTATATTAATCCTTCCAATCCATGAGCATGGGATATCTCTCCGTCTTCTGAGATCTTCTTCAATTTCTTTCTTCAGAGACTTGAAGTTCTTATCATACAGATCTTTCACTTACTTTGTTAGATTCACACCAAGGTATTTTATATTATTTTTGACTACTGTAAAGGGTTTCATTTTCCTAATTTTTTTCTCAACCTGTTTATCCTTTGAGTAGAGAAAGGATACTGATTTGTTTGAGTTAATTTTATATCCAGCCACTTTTCTGAAGTTGTTTATCAGGTTTAGATCTCTGGTGGAAGTTTTGGGGTCACTTAAGTATACTATCATATCACCTACAAATAGTGATATTTTGACTTCTTCCTTTCCAATTTATATCCCTTAGACCTCCTTTTGTTGTTTATGTTTCTCTGGCTAAGACTTCGAGTACTATATTGACTAGGTAGGGAAAGAGTGAGCAGCCTTGTCTAGCCCTTGATTGTAGTGGGATTGCTTCAAGGTTCTCTCCATTTAGTTTGATGTTGGCTACTGGTTTGTTGCTTATTGCTTTTACTATGTTTAGGTATCGGCTTAGAATTCCTGGTCTTTCCAGGACTTTTAACATGAAGGGGTGTCAAATGGTTTCTCTTTGAGTTTGTTTATATAGTTGATTACATTGATGGATTTCTGTATATTGAACCATCCCTGCATTCCTGGGATAAAGCCTACTTGATCATGATGAATGATTGTTTTGATGTGTTTTTGGATTAGATTTGTGAGAATTTTATTGAGTATGTTTACATCAATATTCATTAGGGAAATTGTTCTGAAGTTCTCTTTCTTTGTTGTATCTTTGTGTAGTTTAGGAATGAGTGTAATTGTGGCTTCATAGAATGAATTTGGTAGTGTTCCTTTTGTTTCTATTTTGTGGAATAGTTTGAAGAGAATTGGTATTACGTCTTCCTTGAAGGTCTGGTAGGATTCTGCACTAAAACCACCTGGTTGTGGATTTTTTTTTTTTTTTTTGGTGGGGAGACTTTTAATGACTGTTGCTATTTTTTTGAGGAGTTATGGGACTGTTTAGGTGGTTTATCTGATCTTGATTTAACTTTGGTACCTGGAGTGTGTCTAGAAAACTGTACATTTCATCCAGATTGTTTCAGTTTTGTTGAGTATAGGCTTTTGTAGTAGAACCAGATGATTTTTTTTAATTTCCTCAGTTTCTGTTGTTATATCTCCCTTTTCAGTTCTGATTTTATTAATTTGGATACTTTCTCTGTGTCCTCTGGTTAGTCTGGGTAAGAGATTATCTATCTTGTTTGTTTTTCTCAAGAACCAGCTCCTGGTTTTGTTGATTCTTTGTATAATTCTTTTGTTTCTACTTTGTTTATTTCAGCCCTGAGTTTGATTATTTCCTGCCATCTACTCCTCTTGTGTATATTTGCTTCTTTTTGTTCTAGTG